TGAAGCATTTGTTCTCTAAAGGATAAGGAAAGGAGGCAGCTTCCCACTTACTTTTTGATTGAGCCTTTTATCTAATGTCTTATCCTTACCCCTTTTTGGTTTTTTATTAAATTTGTGACATCATATAGTTAGGGGTGTTTTCCCCCCTTATAAGTCTTACCTCTCTGGAACTGTTGGTTCCTGGAAGACTCTTACAATATTTCATATTCCCACTCATATTTTCTGTCTTGCCTTGCTGGTTTTTATAATGAACTGAGGGGCGCCTGGGTGGCTCAGTTGGTTAAGCGACTGCCTTCAGCTCAGGTCATGATCCTGGAGTCCCTGGATCGAGTCCCGCATCGGGCTCCCTGCTCGGCAGGGAGTCTGCTTCTCCCTCTGACCCTCCCCCCTCTCTCTCATTCTCTCTCTCTCAAATAAATAAATAAAATCTTTTAAAAAAAATTTATAATGAACTGAGAAAAGGGAAGGTTTAACCATAAGATTTGCTAATGGTAATAAAAGACAAGACAGTGCTGGGTGGGGCCTTCTGAGCCTCACTCTGCCACTGACTTGCTGTGTAACCCCCCGGGCTTTCATTGAACCTTCTGCTTGAATTCTAGCAGAAGAGACTAGCTAAAAGAGAGGAGAGCCAGTTTCTGAGTCAGAGGATATGAGGAATATAAGAAAAATTGCTTGGGGACCTAACCCACTAACTGGAAGAGGGACTAGGGCAAATCTGCCTTGTTCTGTTCAGTAATGCAGCCAGGGTACAGGATCCTAAGCCTGCTTAGGGTATGCCCTAGGGGCTTGGAAGGTGGGGGCTGGGACACAGTTACGTGAATAGAGGGAGAAGGAAAGACACCTGAGAATCTGGTAAAACAAAAAACAAGAAAAACATCCTATTGGCTTGAGCCCCTGTGCTGGATTTACTGTCTGCTTGCAGACAGGCACAGTGGAAGTCAGAACTAACATGATACACAGCGCCAGGGGCTTAGCTACTTCCTACATCAGAAAGCTGCAACAGTAATACAATGTCATATGTCAATTATATCTCAGTAAAGTGGGGGTGGGAGAGGCACGGTGCAGGAAGCTAGAACAATTTTTGGCCTGTGGTGATAGGGTAGAACAAAGAGGATTCTTCTTACATGCAGATTCTTTTTTTTTTCTTCAAGATTTTATTTATTTATGTGACAGAGAGAGCGAGAGAGGGAACACAAGCAGGGGGAGTGGGAGAGGGAGAAGCAGGCTTCCCGCTGAGCAGGGAGCCCGATGAGGGGCTCGATCCCAGAACCCTGGGATCATGACCTGAGCCGAAGGCAGACACTTAACGACTGAGCCACCCAGGCGCCCCTTACATGCAGATTCTTCAGGGAGGAGCTAGACCAGACCCCCTGTTGAGCTGGGATTATTTGAGGGTATGACAGAGATGGTGGTAGCTTTTGAAACAGTCCTAGTGGATGCAGTGTTGTTATCCTGCACCCACCTTAGCTTCCATCATGATGCATCTCTGAAGACAGGCCTTGCCCAAAAGTCCAATGTCTCTGTTTTAAATTTAGGCTTCTAAGAGACCATAAAGAATGGAGCAGGTTTGGGCGCCTGGGTGGCTCAGTTGGTTAAGCGACTGCCTTCGGCTCAGGTCATGATCCCAGGGTCCTGGGATCGAGTCCCACGTCGGGCTCCCTGCTCTGCGGGGAGCCTGCTTCTCCCTCTCCCCCTCCCCCTGCTGGTGTTCCCTCTCTCACTGTGTCTCTCTCTGTCAAATAAATAAATAAAATCTTTAAAAAAAAAAAAAAAAAAGAATGGAGCAGGTTTTAGAAATTGTAGAGAAAGAGACAGGCCAAAGGTACAGTCATTTCAGAGGGAATGCTGCTACTTTTAGAAGTGGGTCAGTCGGGCGCCTGGGTGGCTCAGTTGGTTAAGCGACTGCCTTCGGCTCAGGTCATGATCCTGGAGTCCCGGGATCGAGTCCCGCATCGGGCTCCCTGCTCGGCAGGGGTCTGCTTCTCCCTCTGCCCTCTTCCCTCTCGTGCTCTCTGTCTCTCATTCTCTCTCTCTCAAATAAATAAATAAAATCTTTAAAAAAAAAAAAAAAAAAAAAGAAGTGGATCAGTCGTCTTATAACCAAGTAAGAATCCATTAGGTCTGTGGGCTTTAGGAGTCACCATTTAGAAGATTTTTTTTTTTTGCTCAGAGAGGCTACTCAGTGACTCTCTTCCCAATAACCATCTGTAGTTTCTGACCATACTTTCTCAGGTTCAGCAGTTATCAAACTTTGGCTAATGGAGGAGACCTTCTTTACTCTTGATTGGCACAAATAGTTCCCAGTTTTTTTGCTGTTGCAGTGTTGAAGCAAACATCCTTGTATTTAAAGTGTGTGTGTGTGTTAGCAGTAAGTTTTTAGTATTAAGTTACTGGCTTAATTTGTTCAATTTTGTTCTTGAAGTATAACATGCAGAAAAATTACACAAATCATAGCTCTATTAATGATATAAAACAAATACACCTAGGACGCCTGGGTGGCTCAGTCGGTTAAGTGTCTGCCTTCAACTTAGGTAATGATCCCAGGGTCCTGGGATAGAGTCCCACGTCAGGCTCCTTGCTCAGTGGGGGGCCTGCTTCTCCCTCTGCCTGTGCTTGCTCTCTCTTTGACAAATAGATAAATAAAAATCACTAAAAAAAATGAATACACCTTCACAATTGCTACCCATATCAAGACAAAATTCCCAGCACCCTGGAAGCCTCTTTCATCTCCTTCACAATCACTACCACTTCCCTCCTCCCCAGAGTAAACAGTATCCTGATTTCTAACATCATGAAGTTGTTTTGCCTTTTTAGAAACTTTAAGATACTTAAATGGAGACATGTATATCATTTTTAGGGGTCTGGCTTTTATCCCCTTCCTCATTATGTGTTGTGATTCATAGCAGTAGTTCATTTTTCTTAATTGCTACTCAATATCATTATATACCACATTTATTTATTCATTCTAATTGCATTGCTTGCAATGCCACCTTTATCATAAACCAAGTATCTGTACACAAGGGTCTGTTTCTAGGTTCTTCATTCTGTTTCATTAATATATTTGTCCATAATTGTACCAAAGCCTTACTGTCTTCACTCTAACTTATTATCTTTATTATTTTACATATATAATAATATATATTGTAACATATATTTGTATATTATAACAGTTATAACTTATATGTGTATATATATCTAGCTGTATAGTTGGCTTAATTATAGCTGTAATAATAAGTCTTAGTATCTAGTAGAGTAGGTCCCCCACTTTGTTCTTTTTAAGATTACTTTGATTATTCTTGGCCCTATGCATTTCCATATAACTTTTACAATCAGCTTGAAATTACCCCTGCCCCTTCTGCCCAAAAAAGTATGCTGGAATTTTGATTGGAATTCCCTGAGGAGAATGAACATCTTTACTATATTGAATCTTCCAATCCCTGGAAGTGGTATGTCTATTTTTTGGTCTTTCATTTCTCTCAATAATGTTTTATAGTTTTCTGTGTAAAGATCTTATACATCTTGTGTTAGATTTATTCTTAGGTATCTGGTGGGTTTTTTTTTTTTTATGTTGTTATAAATGGTATTGTTTTTTAAAGTTATTTCCTTATTGCTTGTATTAAAACATAATTTTATATATTGAGAAGAGTAAAGTTTTTATTTATAAGATTTTTATGAGGTTAAAAGTATATCATTTTAAGAATCATCTAATATTCAAATTATTATGGGAATATAGGGCACATTAAGAAAAGTAAATTTGGGGAGCACCTGGGTGGCTCAGTCAGTTAAGCATCTGCCTTTGGCTCAGGTCATGATCCCAAGGTCCTGGGATTGAGCCCCACGTCCAGCTCCCTGCTCAGCAGGGAGTCTGCTTGTCCCTCTCCTCCCCACTCGTGCTCTCTCTCACTATCTCTGCCACCATCTCTGTCTCCCTCTTTCTCAAATAAATAAAATCTTTAACAACAACAAAAAAGTAAAGTAAATTTGGAATAAATCTAAGATTTGTAAGGGTGGAGATTTTAAAGGGATACCAGGAGGAGCCTGTTCCCAAATTTTGTGAATTCTCTGTTGGTTGCTTGAGAGAGATGGCCCAGGGCTTGCTTTCTCTCTCAGCTCAAATGATTGGAGCTTGGAATGTTGGGATGCTTTTTTTCTTCTTCAGACTGAGCCCTCTCCCAGCCACCCCGCATTTGGGAGCACTCAGGCAAATGTAGAACAGGTGGGACCAGAGTGAATGGGAATTTCACTCAGTCCTTCAATGCTAGCAGTTTTTAAACTGACAGGCTTCCCTCCCATTCTAAAACTCACCGAGACGGAAGCAGTAAATCCATCCACCATCGGGCATTGCAAGCATCCTGAAATGATGATGACAGTACCTGTTTCCTTAAACTCACACTTGGCTTTGTTTTTCCAGGTCTATAAAGGAGAATTTCAGCTCCCTGAATTTCTTAAAGAAAAACCTCAGGTACTGTATCTGCTTCCTCTTCTTAATCTGATAGATAGACTCTTGTGTCAGAGGGATCTTTTTAAAGAGTGCTAGGCTGGTGGTAGAAAGATTGGCCTCTGGTAGTTGTTGGTTTTAACAGTAATTTAACACCATCTTAATTTGAGAGAGCTCAGTGTCAGTGTCTTCCAAAATTAGGGAACTACTTTATTGATAACTAAAATCCAATTGCTTGAGGTAACTTATAAGCCATATGGTATTCCACATACAAGAAGCCTGCCTTAGTGAATCTGCTCCGGCCTTCTGATATCTAACTTGAAATAAAACTATACAGCCACCCTTTGTTCTTATCACATAGACATCCATGGCCTTTTAACTTGTCTTACTTGGAGCCCAGGAGACTTGTGAATACATGATATTCACAGCCATTGGCCCTCAACTGCAAAGCCCCCAGGTTGGGAAAGGACAGTGAGAGTTTGAAAATTATAACTCTTACTTTTTTTAAAAATTAGTTAAAGCAGATCCAGAGTTATCCTTGCAATGTCACGCCTTCACTTACCTGGGTCAGTGCTGTTTCTTGAGTTGAAGAGAGACAGGCAGTGTTACAGCTGACCCTGTGTGCCTGAAGTGGCCCGGAGTGTCCTGCGTCTGGCCATCATCGCCATTCCTATACAGTAGTGGGGAGAAAATTGTCAGCTACTGCTCAAGCCCAGCAGAAGACGTCCCTTTCTAGCCTAGTGGTAATACGTGTTGCCTCCAGGCTGCTGCTATCAGTAGTTGGCTTGTAAATAGGAAATGAAGACTCCGCACTGAACTCGGTTTCTAAAATCATCCCAGGTATGGATTGGTGAGGGAAACATACCTCCTCACAGACTCTGTGTGAAGTCGTGTTGCCTGAAGCAAGCCTGCAGTAAGTGGGCTGGGCTCTCTAAAAGAAGCTGCCTTCTCACACCAGGGTCGAAGGCTCTGTCTTCTCAGATCCTTGTCCGATAATAGTCAGCCATTAATAGCGGATATGTATACTTGAGAATTCCAGACTACTTTCATGGCACATTCTTATTAGCATATGTTCGATTTTAATCCTCCCATTCATTCATTTTATTTATTCAACAAATGTTTACTGAATTTCTGTTATGGGTGAAAAGTTGGAAGTCCTCAAGAGCCACAGAAAAAAAGAGATCTTCTTAAGGAACTTCTGATCTCCCCTAAAGACTAATCAGTTTTTGCAGATAAGGGGGCACTGGGCCCTGAGCCTGGGCTAGGTGTGATGCCCCAGAAACCTGGATGAATTCATCAATAAGCCATCAATCACTTGCAGGGTGTGGCAGTTGGAGCCAGAGAAAAATCCAAGAGGCAAGTCTTGAAGGAATGTCAAATCCAAAGACTGTTTTGCATAATAAGTTTGAGGGAATCAAGAAAGGGAATTTGAGACTAAAATTAAAGGGATACCTCTGCTTCACTGCATACATAAAAATCATATCCAGGCCGATTATAGACCTAAATGTGAAAGGCAAAATAATAAAGTTTTTAGGAGACGATAAAGGAGAATATCTTCATGACCTTAAGAGGGAAGGATTTCTTAAATAGATCATAAAAAACACTGATCATTAATTTTAAAATGGATAACTTGGGCTCCATTAAAATCGATAATATTTATTTATTAGAAAGCATCATAAGGAGAGTAAAAAAGTATACCTTAAGTGGAATAAAATAATTAGAAACAAAGGACTCATTTGTAGAATATAGAGGATTCCTACAAATCAGTAAAAAAAAAAAAAAATGTGCAAAAGGCTTACTAGGAACTTCAAGCCCCTTACTATGGTTAGTTTAATGCATCACACACACACACATACTTAGAAAAGGGCTGTAAAAGAATTTAACTTACAATAAATGAGAAAATGGAAGCCCACAGAACCCTCAGGTTTGGTATTTAGCTAAAGTGGCTCACAGAACTCAGCAAAGTGCTGTACGGCCAGTTACAGTTTTATTATAAAGGATACAAATCAGGATCAGCCAAACAAAGAGACATGTAGGACAGGGACTGCAAGGGTCTCAAACACAGAGCTGTGCCCATTCCCCAGGGAATCAGGGTACTTCTCCCTCTCAGCAACATGTCAGTGCATTCACCAAGCAGGAAGCTCTCCACTGAACTTCAGCATCCATAGTTTTTATTGGGATCTAATTACATAGACGTGATTGACTGAATTATTGACCATGTGGTTGAAGTCAGTGCCAGCCAACATCCCCTATCCAGAGGTTGGCTGGCTTAAATTCCCAAATCTCTAATCACAGGGACACCAGCCAATTAGTGGCAGAGCCGGTTTCTGATCTTTTGATCTTTCTGTGACCAGCCCCCATCCTGAGTTATCTCATCTCGTAGCATAAATTCAAGTATGATCCAGGGAGCTCCAGAATAATGAAGACATTCCCGTTACATGGGAAAATCCAAGAATTTAGAGTCTCCCTACCAGGAACTGGGGACATAGTCCAGTCAGATTCCTTATTATACAATAGTAGCAGACTGAGTTCATTAGAAAATCTGTGATCAGAGCCTACAAGCTACCCCTGATATTTCAATGAGAGCAGTCACTTTTCATCCTGACCAACTTCAAGGACTTTTAAAACATCTTTTGCTTCCTTTGACAGACTGAGGAAGTGGAGTAGCAGAGCCAGGAACCACTTATGTACGTGAGGTGAGAGTTGGGGGACATTCCTTGGTCTTTGGGTTACCCTGCTTAAGCTCTCCTAGGAGACAATGTGGCTGGAGTGGAGGGCACAGCTCTGGAGTCCATCCGCCTGGGTTGGAATCTGGGCTCTGTGGCATTGAGCAAATCACTTCTCTGTGTCTCAGCTTCCTCATCTGTAAAGTGAGGACGGTATTAATAAGAGAGTACTAGTAAGAATTAACCATAATAATGTCTACAGAAAGCTTGTTACTAGGCACTCAAACAGTGTTAGTTGTTATTTTTAATATTAGGAGGAGTGTAAGATGATAAAATATTTTAACTGGAAGGGATTTGGAGACCGTTGACCCCACTACCCTGTTTGCAGGTAAGGAAGCTGATCCCCGAGAGGCGGTTATTTGCCATGGTCACCGCACAGTAGGACAGCCAGAGCCGCTTCCACCACCCCGCGTGGCTTCTGTGTGTGCTGTGCGTGCACAGGTTTTTGCAGGAATAGTTTTGGGAGTTGGTCAAGTCTGTCCTTGCCGATTTTAACGTACAGCGAGGTCTTGTTTGTAATCCACGTTGTCTCGTTGTAGGTAAGGGCTGCAGTTGGGCTAGGCCAGCCATGCCTTATCAGTCCCCTTCATATCTGAGTAATCATCAGGTACGTGTCCAGGGACACCAGCCAATTAGTGGCAAAGCTGGTTTCTGAACCCAGAGCTCCTGACGCAGCCGCTCAGAGCTCACACCCCTTTCCCACACTTCCTTAAGGCTGTGTTTTGTTCTGAATGATGTGGTCATGCCTTAGATCGTTTGGAACTTGAAAAGCTTTTTTAAAAATCTGATTTTTTCTTATAGTGTTGCTTGCCATTTTAGTTTTATTTTACATAATAACATTGTACTGACTGCATACTCTATACAAGGCATAAAATATCAAGCATTTTACATATGTAATATATAAATAACATATATGACACATACTGTATAATATATAATATGATATTCATATATGTAATATATGAATGAACTCATTCAGAGTTCAGACCACTCTGGCAAAGTAGGTGGTATTATACCTGTTGTACTGATGAGAAAATTAAGACTGAATAATTTGAATTAAGAGATTTTTTTTTATGACTTGCTGGGTTAATGGATAATAGACTGAAAAAGCACATGAACACTGCTATGCCATGTCAAAATCATGGATGACTTTGAGCTGATAATATTAATAGGTTTCAGGATTTTTGACTGCCTTTTTGCTAAGGAGCAAATGCTAAATGTTAGACATACACTCTATGTACGTATGTAACAGCAGTTATCATACCTTTTATAGATAAATTCCCTCTGTGAAATACACACACAGGGATCCACTTATTGAATGTTTCACAAGGCAGAATGCAGTGTCAGTTGACTCCAGCCTTGGAGTTGACTCCACAGCATCATTTCATCCTTGTATGTTTGTTGTAGCTTGTAGGGGCCACATGCAGCGAGAGGACTCAGAAGAAGCAGGAAGACAACAAAGCATCTCAGGAAGGATACTAGTCTTTCTTCTTGTCTTTGCGGTCCCTTTGGCGTTTGAATGGCAGTCGCTGTGTTCTCTAAATCTTCCTTTAAAGAACCTTGGTATCTACTCTTTCAAATGCAGAGTCAGCATGTCAGACCCCTGGACATGTGACATCCCTACCAGTGCCCCTGCAGTAGCTTCAATTGCAGGTGACAGTCGCAGTCATTCAGCAATGGGCAGGAGCAGCCCGTGCTTTGGCTGCCATCTGCCTGTCTGGCGTCCCAAAGCGACCGGCAGGCGTCTGAAAGCATCCCAGACTGAGGGAGTGTGTGCTTCCTTGGTAGTCCTTCCGAGGCAGCTGCTCTTGTGACCGTCTGTCCTCCTCGCTGCCTACCTGGCTCAGGCCAGGACTGCAGCTGGGTGCTGGGGAGAATGAAGTGTGACTCCACACCTGTAACCATATTCTATTTGTTTGCCCTAGGGAAGACTGCTGCCTTCAACAGAAGGGAAAGTTCTAGGACTGGCCGTCCCCCGCCGAGATCAGTGGAGCGTATGTACCATGGCCCGCATCTCCTGTTGGCTTGCCGGTCTCCTCCCACTGCGAGGGTGGGATGTCAATATACCTTTGGGCCTTCCTGAGTGATCTGCTTCCTCACTGCAGTGCTCTTGATCCTAATTACATGCACAACCCTGTGGATAAGAAGCCCGGAGGGAGCGTGTGCTTTCTGTTAAAACTGCTCTGGTCCTCGTCTTTTCTTACCAGATTCCAAACTTTTGTTTCAAGGGGAGGGTTTTAAAATGGAATTCTATAAGCAGAATTGGGCAGTTTCTTCTTGGAATAGGTTGTCTGTACATGTTCTGATGTTTCGTAGAACACTTGCTGTTTAAATGTATTGATGTGGATAATATTAAATATCTTAATTATTTAAATAATTCATTGTATTGTTTTTGAGAAGTTGAGGAATTACCGTATACATTTACAACTTAATGACTTTTGTATTTTATTTTTCAAAATAAAAGCTTTAAATGTGTGAAGCATTCTGGTGGTTTACATGTTTTTATTACTGTGATTTCAGAGAAGCAGTAAGACCTTATCAGACGGTGATTGATAAACCAAAGTTTCTTCAGTTGGCTGTATTGTAGGTATTCCCTTCTATGCATCATAACTTTTAAAAATTTTTTTATTTTAATTCCAGTATAGTTAACATACAGTGTGATATTAGTTTCAGGTGTACAATACAGTGATTCAACACTTCCATTCAATGCCCAGTGCTCTTCACAACAAGTGCACTCCTTAATCCCCATCACCTAGTTCACCCCTCCCTCTACTACCTCCCCTCTGGTAACCATCAGTTTGTTCTCCATAGTTAAGAGTCTGTTTCTTGGTTTGTCTCTCTCTCTTTTTTTTCTCCATTTGTTGGTTTCTTAAATTCCACATATGAGTGAAATTACATGGTATTTGTCTTTCTGTGACTTATTTTGCTTAGCATTATACTCTCT